CTAATTCTAAAATTCTTAATTATCATCCATAATCTCAGAAGAATTTAGTTTTTAAAATCGTTCAAGATCGCACGATCTCACGATCTCGCGATTTTGTGCGCGATCTTCGATCGATTCTTCAAGACCCACGATTTTTGTCCGATTCAGATCGTTGAAGCCCCTTAACATCGTAAAATCGTGCGATCTTAGGATTTAGATCGCGATTTTAACAACCATGCTGGGCACTACAACAACTTCCTCAATGACCACCTTGTCTTCCTCCTCCTCATCATCGCTCTTAATGAGGACACGTCGTTTAGCCCTCGTCTTCTTTCGACCCATGATGACGATCAATCAAATCCTAAAACTCATTTTTGTTTTCCTTTTTGAAATGAAGAAGTTGCCAATGGCGAACTGATGAATACGGTGACAAAGAAGTGGCAGTAGGTGTGGATGATGGAGGAGATAATTTAAGATTTCCAAGAGGCTTAGTATATATATAACGAAAGTATATCCGTTATGATGTTCATCTTTACTATTAATTAATTATATGTAAAAAAATGTATCCGTTATGTATATAATGAAGTGTATCCGTTACGAAAAAGAGAGAGGCGACTGTATAAATAAGGAAATGCCACAAAATGTGAAAAGACGCAATTGGGGCTAGATTCATGATGTGAGACGGTGAGATGTAGATCAGACGGCTGATGTTGGCGAGCGGGAGGGACGCGGGTATCGAGCAAGCTTTTGAAGGAAAGTAACCGTCGATGGTGGGTGAGATCGCGATTCCTATATAAAATGCTTACCCTATTTAATGCATAGGGTAGCATTTTATATATATATAGATTATAATAGTTGTATAATAAATCTTTTACCAACAGTTCAACATGATAGAGAAATTTTTATCTCCTATTTATTAGGCTTGTTCCCAACACTATTTTATAAAATAATTTATGATGTAGAGAAATTTCCTTTTTAGTAATAGTTGTAATGTTTGTAGAAATACACATTTAACAATGACTAACTTAGTTGCATAATTTTTTTTTTGTAACAACATTTTTTGGGTATATATTGAACTTATTTTGCATAACAACTTATTTTGGTTGTAAAATTGTACTTTAGGTAATGACTTATGGTGTTGTTATAAAATAATTTTAGCAATAATAAATATAGTCATTAAAAGCTAATATGGCAACCATTATTATGTCGTTGCTATTGTTTTTTACCTACGAATGTATATTGTACGTATTTTGTTTTACTTATTGGTTTTTAAATATAGGTATATGGTCATTAATCTTTTACCTATGACATATAACACTATAACAATATAGTCACAAGCATGGTTAAATATTTATAGTTACAAGACATATACTTATACTTTTTGTCCATAGATATAGGCCTCAAATGAGATATACCTACGACTTTTTACCATATACTTATGGGTTTTATATATATATATATATATAGCTAAATGGTAAAAATGCTATAGTTTAGAAGAGCTCCCCCTGTGAGGTTCAACCCAGCATGACTTCGAATTAATCAGGTCCAATATGACTTTTAAATTCCAAGGAATTTAGTCGATTTTTCTTGTTTCTTTATTTCTTGCCGTAACAAATACTACTAGTTTACAATGTATATGAGAGATGAAGATCTTTAATTAATTTTAATATAACTGAGGAACAAAGACGAGCTTCTTTTCAACAATCAAATGAATAAATGGATTTTGAAATAACTTTGAAACGACATTAATTTTCTGTTTAGTTTGCGGAAATAATTAATTTCTGAAATCTCAGAGGTTCATTAACTGACTAATGTGTTTAAAAGAAGTAAATATATATCACACACATATGCCTGGTACTCCTTCAAAAAGGAAAGGAGGAAGTTGTTTTAGTGGTTCCCTTACGTACCTAAACAAAATAGCACTTCAATTCCCACCCAAAATGACATAAAGGATTTCATTTGAAGAAAAGCAGGTTATGTCCATCACTAATTTTGTTAAAACCACTAATTTTACTTGTAATTTTATAAGTTTATAATTTTTTGAATAATTTTGTATGATATTTAAAAATATTTGTTTATACACTGATTAGAGTTTGTTAAATAATAAATATTAATTATTTTTTTAATTATTAATTATTTTTAATAGTCAAATTAAAATAAAATTTTGTCAATTTTACTAATCTGAACAAAATTAGTGATGACAATCAATAACCATAGTCATGATAATCGTCAGGGTGACTGAAACTTCTGGTTGAGATTCTCTTCCATTCTCCATTGGCCTTTGCCAGATCCAATAGAGAAATAGCTGGAAAAGACTTCAAAGTGGTCTTAGGTAGTTAACAAAAGTGTTGAGACACAGATTCAGTGATTTTTTTAAAAAAGAAAATCTGTAGGAGCCATGAAAAGTTTGTCTAGTTGGACACACGAAAATGTGAAGTTTGTATGGCGGTTTAAATGTATGTTTAGACTTTAGGAGTATAGAGGTCTTTAGTTTGTTTAAATTAGTGTCATCATCAGCGAAAGTCATTCAACAGAATTATTCACAAATTATTAATTTTTTTCAGAAAATGTAACTTACCAATACAAATGTGGTCGCAATCAAGACATTTGTGTTTTTCCATTTGATTTTTCAGAGTTCAACAATTCTTTTGTTGGAGGGTAGTCATGGTTTTTCCCCGCAAAAACTTTGCTATATTTCAATAACATGTTTCAATGCGAGAATTTGCAAGACTCTTGGTGTGATTTTTGTGGTAAAAAAAGGTAATTTTCATTTATCGAATTCAATATCAAGGATGTAAATCAAGCATACAAACTATTATTACGATGAGACAATAACAAATAAAACTAAAATAAAACATGACTTAGATGAAAATTCCTACATGAAAATGAACAAATACAATTAAAAGAGAGAGAGAGTGAGAGGACCTAGAGAGGGAACTCAACTGCATCTAATTTGAGGAAGATAAGAAACTCAATTGGATGCCCTCAAACTTCAGGTTGAAGTTCTCTTCCATTTTCCATTCCTAATTTACTAGTCAAAAGTTCCAACAGAGAAATAGATTGAAAAGGCTTTGTAAGTGGTTTTTGGTAGCCAACAAATTGTTGAGACATAAATTTCATTGTTGGCTTAGACTTTGATTTTGTATGCAAGCAAGCAAATGCAAGTGTAGCGGCAACTACAATATTTTGTATAACAGTCTTGTTTTTTGGAGGACACAGACATGTATCTAATATGTCAATTAGCATCATGTTCCATAAAGATGGTCATGATAACAACCGTACGTAGTAGTTCTCTAGGATGCCTTGCCATTAGTACTTCCCATGTTTCAAGCATACCACCATAAGCAGCTTCATCAGTCACCCAAACTTTTTATTTTGGACAATCTTCAGGTTAAGCCCATGCCTATTTCTCTGATTTGTCTTATTTCATTTTATGTGTTTCTGCTGGAGAGTGTGTTAGTGAGCTTCGGAAGTTAATGCTGATCAGCCTGATATGTTCCTTTCTGAGTAGAAGGGCGTTAATGGGCTCTGCACTGGGGAGAAACATTGAAAGGGTTCTTTTGTATGTTATGAATGTTTAAAATAGTTAATGCCCTTTCTTTAGTGCTTACCTCACATCTTCTGTTCTATCAAGGTTGGTGCAAATTATGAACTATAGTTTCTGTGGTACAGCACTACAGCATGATGCCAATAATCAGGATTATATCGACTTAAAAAAGAAAAAAAGAAAGGGGGGAAATGTGGCATTTTTTGAACTATTTTCCTATTTGCATTACAGCCAATTTCTTCTGCTGAGTGCTGAACCTAGTTTCTGTGCATTCATATGTTTCTGTAAAAATTTGTAATCATAGTGCCATTATTCTTATTGGGATTGATACGAAGCATTGTACTCTTTGGAGTCCCAGAATTTCCTCACGAATTCCATTTAAACATTTCTAATTGAAAATTGCTGCATGAAAAGGGACAAACTGAGCTGAAAAAAAATAAATAAAGGAAAGAAAAAAAATGATGACCCAGAGGACACTCGCTTGCATCTAATTTGGCGGAGAACCATGAAGCTTATCTAGATGACCTGAAACTTTGATCTGGATGACCTGAAATTTTGAATTAAGATTCTCTTCCATTTTCCATCCCCAAATCACTATTCACCAACTCCAATAAAGAAATAACTGGAAAAGGCTTTGCAAGTGGTCTTTGGTGGGCAACAAATTGTTGAGACAAAAATGTCATTGTTGGCTTGGACTTGGGTTTTGCACGCAAACAAGCAAATGCAAGCATAAAGCAACTGCAATATTCTGGGTAACATTTTTGCTTTTTGGAGGCAATAGAAGTCTATCTAATATGTCACTTAGCATCACATTTTGCAAGGAAGAGAGTGATAATGACAATGTCAATCAATGTTTTAAAGCCCAGTCTGGCAATTAATACGTTTTGGTCACTGAATCTAGTTTAATCAGTTAAATTGGTTTGATTGATCAGACTAACCGATCAACCTAATAAATACCTTTTAATTCATTTTATCAATTATAAATTATTTTTACTTTAATTGATTTTGTTTTTAAAATTTGATTGAAATCATTTTATATTTATTGATCAAATTAATTATTAATTTTTAAGACTTTATTTTCAAATTTTATTAATTTAAAATTAATTTTATTAATCAAATTTATTAAAATACATAATATATTTTTCTTTAATAGGCATCTAAA